ATTTTAAAGCGTGCACCATAAAGCTACAGTCTTCCGGACAGGTAGGGACTCATGGGGATAGAAACGCAGGATGGAATATAATTAAAAGAGTCCAGGAATAAATAGAGTCCTGGCATTTATAGTCAACTGGCTTCAGCAATATTGTCTCAAGAATTTAACGAGGGAACGTTAGCGTTTCAATCAATGGTCCTAAAACAGTGAGATACTCAGACGCAAACAATGAATTTCAACCCTAACCTCAAAGTAACTCAGACACTTAAAAGGTGAAGAATGACAACTGGTTAGCATTGAGGGAAAAACATGAGAGAAAATCTTCAGGATCTTGGCTTGGGCAAGGATTTCTCAAATATGATATCCAAAGCAACAAGCTTTGAAAGAAAATGGACAAAATCGACCTCATCACAATTAAAAACAAATGTTTGCACTTCAAAAGACACCACTGAGAAAACTGAAAGAGAAGCCACACAGACTGGGAGAAAAGATTTGTAGATCATATTTCTGGAAAAAGACTTGTATCTAAAAAATGTAGGGGCACCTGGTGGTTCAGTCGGTTAAGCATCCGACTTTGGCTCAGGTCACGATCTCATGGTTCATGAGTTCAAGCCCCATGTCGGGCTCTGTGCTGACAGCTTAGAGCCTGGAGCCTGCTTCAAATTCTATGTCTCCTTCTCACTCTGCCCCTCCCCCACTTGTACTCTGTCTCTATCAAAAATAAATGTAAAAAAATTAAAAAAAAAAATAAAGAACACTTAACAATTCAATAATAGGGGACACAGAACCCAATGTAAAGAAAACATTTTAACATTTATTTATTTTTGGGAGACCGTGAGAGACAGAGACTCCTTGTAATTTCCACATGTTGGAAGTTCTCAATTTTGCATTTTCTTGCATGTACTCTTTCTAGTTATTTTAAATGTTACGCTTGGGGGGGCTCCTGGATGGCTCAGTTGGTTAAGCGTCCGACTTCAGCTTGGGTCATGATCTAATGGTTTGTGAGTTCGAGCCCTGCATCGGTCTCTGTGCTGGCAGCTCAGAGCCTGGAGCCCGCTTCGGGTTCTGTGTCTCCTTCTCTCTCTGCCCCTTCCCCATTTCACCCTCTCCCTCTCTCTCTCAAAAAAATAAATAAATAAATAAACATTAAAACAGTTAAAAAAAATTAAACATCAATTTCCTATATAAAATAGCAGTTCCACTCCTAGATATCTACCCAACAGAAAGAAACACCTATATCCTAATGTAAATATTGTGCCCGCATGTTCCGAGCAGCGTTCTGATAGCCACCACGTGGAAACAGTACAAGTGACCCCCAACAGATGAATGGAAAAACAAAATTCGATCTATCCATACAGTGGAATATTATTCATCCATATAAAAGAATCAAGTACTGATCCATGCTACAGCATAAATGACTTTGAAAACACGCTAAGTGAGAGTGTCTGCTTTAGACACAAAAGACTGGGCATTATACGAATTCCTTTATACAACACGCCCCGAGATGGCAAATGTAGAAAGACAGAAAGTAGGTTAATGAGACGGAGGCTAGGAACATGGCACCTATAATTACAACACAGTCTTTCTGGGTTGATGCAAATGTTCTAAAATTGGATTATGCTGATAGTTGCCACAACTCCGTTAAAAAAAAATCATCAAATCTTACACTGTGATGAGTTGATTTTATGGGATGTAAATCATGCTTCAGTAAAGCTCTTAAAAATCACACTTTGGTTAACCAGAAAGTTTGGTAAAGAATCAAAGAGGCAGTAGATTACCCTGGATTGCTACTTAATCAGCCTTGGAACTATGTTATCAAAATTGTAAAAGCATTGGTAGTCTTTAGAATTTTCCTCTCTTTGTTGGGGAAGGTTCCCTAGCCATTGCCTCTCATCCAGCCTGCGATGTGTTTCAGGTCACTCACACTTTACTTACAAAATCTTCTTACATGGAGGAATGCAAATTTTTTTCTTCCAGAAATGAGGGGAGGACTTGTAACACAGATTTGTGGATCACTCCCGTAGCATACTTCTCTGAGAAGGGTATCCCTTATAAGCTTCTACATAGTTTTGTCATAAATTCAGTCCATGAGTTCACTTTGAAATAGGTTCTATACTGATAAACCCCGACAAACACAACCCAAAGACAGTCAAGCTAATTTGATTTTTTAAAGTTCTTTTAGGTATTTATTCATTTATTTTTAAAAAGTTTGTTTATTTTGAGAGAGATTTCATGCACACGCATGAGCAGAAGAGGGACAGAGAGAGAGAGAAGGAGACAGAGAATCCCAAGCCGGCCCTGAGCTGTCAACGCCGATCCTGATGTGGGGCTTGATCTGAGGAACCACAAGGTCATGACCTGAGCTGAAATCAAGAGTCGGACCGATTGAGCCAACCAGGTGCCCCTTTTTATTTTTTTTTTTAATTTTTTTTTTTAACGTTTATTTATTT